GTCAGCTGGGGCCGCCGTCTGGACGCTTAAAGGGCCAGGCCGCCCTGCGTGCGGGCTAGGGGCGCGGATGCGCGGTGTGCGCGCCGTCCCGGTGCGGCTGCCCTGCAGAGAGCCTCGGGGTCCCCGGGCCGGGCCGGCAGCTGACGTGGGAGCGTTTGAACCGCGCGACCCCACCCTCCCGCGCTGAGCCCCTCTCTGCGGGGAAGTTCGTCGGGAGTCTAACCCGTGTGTCCTCCCGCTGCTCCACGGGGGCGGGGCCAGGGCCAGGGTAGGCGTGAGGTCACTGAGCTGGGCGCGCCGGCCCCCGACCCACCTGCTCCCTGGAGCCGGGAGACGCTGAGGGCCCGAGCCCCGCACCCCAGCCACGCTCACCACCCGCCCCCTGTGGTCCCGGCTGCTCCGACTTGGGGGTGAGTCTGGGGTCCCCGGCTGCTCCGGCCTCCCTCCCATACGTTTTGCTCTGCGCCTCTGGGACCTACCTGGTGGCCTTTGGCTGCGCAGGGCCTCTGAGCCACCGCCGCAGCCGCAGCGAGGGAAGCCTGCTCGGGACAGCCGGGTGGGGGCCCAGAGGCCCAGGCCCGGCCGAGTGGCCTCTCGGCGCAGCCTCCACTGGGGAGATGCAGCCCGGCTTGCGGAATGCTGCTCTGGCACCGGCTCCGTGGGGGCAGGGGGCTGGCTGTGCTGGCAGGAGGCTGCGAAGGAACGCTGCCAGGCTGAGCGGCGGCAGGGCGGGACCACGGGCTACCACCGTGGTCTCTCCTTCGGACGCCCCGCACCCCTACCCAGCGGCCGCTCTTCAGCCTAGTCACTCCCCGCACTGCTCCAGCCTGACCGCCCCACTCCAGCCACAGCAGTCTCCCTGGGTATACGCCTTCCTCACGGTGGGCAGGGGCTGCGGCGCTTCCTCTAGAGCCAGACAGGTGCCATCAAATAGCTGAGGGTCTGTCCCCTAAGAATGCAAGGATCTCCCACACTGGGCTGGCTACCCCTGAGCCAGGGAAGCAGTCAGGTGGGATGAAGAGAGGTGGGGACAGAGGAAGGCCCCTTCCTCCATCTGAGCAGGACATGCCCTGTAGCTGGGGGAGCAAGCTGCTTGCAGCCCCGAATCTGCAAGAAGGCACAGATGCCTGACTGAGCTGTGAAACTGCCGGTTACCGGGATGTCTCCTGTCACTTCCAGCCGTTTCTCCTCTGACTGGTTTCTCTTCTGAGTGGTTTGCTACACTGACCCGGGAGGTGGGAAGGGCAGGGCTATCTACCCACTGAGTGGACAAGGACAGAGTCCCACAGGAAAACTAGACATGCAAACAGAACCCTGTGCCAGGAGGCTGGAAGCTGGGCAGAGTGGCCAGCTTAACCACAGGCAGAACGCTGGACCTTTGGGGGATGCCCTTGGCTAAAGTAAAGGAGTGACCCCCCCACCCCCCGCTGTCCTACTTGAGTTCCCAGAGCAAGAGCCTGAGCTCTGACCCAGGCTCCAGGACACACTGCAAAGGCCAGGAGGTCTGTCCCTTGTGCTCGTTGGCTACAGAACTGGGTGGTCAGGGCTGGGACACAGCCAAGATTCCCGTTGAGTGCACGTGTCCAGCTGGGGGGAGGCCTGAGAAAGGGCTGATGGGGGCACTCCACCTCCTGGAGGGGCACGGTGGGAGCAGAGAGCCTAGACCACAGCCTCAAGCTCAGGATAGAGGCCTGTGACCTCTGAAGCCGGGTGACTCCAGTCCAGACTTCACTTCTGGGGTTCCCTGTGCTTGGCTGGGAAAGCTAAGCACACCAGGTAGCATGGAGTGCAGTTTAGGTAGTACCTGGTGGTGCAGGCTGGAGGGAGGACGACAGCGACCTGGTGGTGCGGCCTGGTGGTGCGGTGCAGGGGGGGAGGGCCCTCCATCTGCCCGAGTTCTGGCTGCAGAGCCCAGCACTAATGGGCCACAGCTGCACCAGTGTGGCAGCCTAATGCAAACCAGCAGGTTCCCTTGCCCACACCAACTCCAGGGCCTTAGAGAGCCTCCCTGGTAGCTTCTAGAAGGCTGCCAGAGACCTTAGTCCTGCACAGCCCTGGGAGGCTAGTGTCTTGCAAAAGCCCCCACCCCAGTTACTCAGTGAGGAGTAGCAACAGCCATGTCAAGGGCTGTTCACCACAGCTGCTCAGAGGCCCTCACAGTCCTGAGGAGCTGAGTGTAGGTTCTGTAGCGTAGGTCCTGAGCCCTAAGTGCCCCCTGGACACGGCCTGCAAGGAGGCAGACTCCTTTCCAGACCAGTGCAGAAGGGCTGAACCACCTATTTACACCTGCTTGCCCAGTCACAGGCATCCTCTGGGTTCAACAGTTGGAAAACAAGGGTTCTCAGAATCTGTCGCTCCCACATGGGCAGCAGAGATCAAGGGCCAGGGCTCGGTGGACACAGGCACAGTCCTGGCCCTTTCCACTTTTTGCCTTGGTGTCTTCAAAGCTCCTTAGCCCAGGCTGTGGAGTTGGGTCTTAATGCATGCGTGGGGTGTGGTGTTGAGGAAAACAGCAGAAATACGGAGCTGTTCTAAGACAGGGAGGAGCAGCCATGGCAAGGGTGGCCCAGGCCTCAGAAGAATGCAGTCTGTGGGTGATTCCAGGGTGTTGAGCTCTCCCTCACCTCCAGGTTCCTGAAGGACTGCACCAACCAATAATTTGTCTCAGCCAAAACATTCTGAACTGTTCCAACTTGTTAAGATTAAAATTTATGGGTGTTTTGCCTGCATATATGTCTATGTGAAGGTGTCAGATCTTGGGGTTAGTAGACAGTTGTTAGCTGCCATGTGGGTGCTGGGAATTGAACTGGATCCTCTGGGAAGAGCAGGCAGTGCTCTTAACCACTGAGCCCCATCCAGTCCCCACACCCCAGCTGTTACACACCCCAGCTGTTACACACCCCTCACAAGGACATCGGGGGCCCAATGCCTGGCTAATTCAGTAAGTTGAGACCAAAGCCTCTGGCAATGCCCCAGTACTGCCCACTCACCAAGCAGGTTCTTACCAGATGAGAATAAAGTTCTTAGAACTCTGTAAAGACCATAAGGGACTTCCTTAATGCCCTCCCCCTATCTTTTGAGGATGTGGAACAGGGTCTCATGTAGCCTAGGTTGGCCTTCCACTCATGGATCCTCCTGTCTCCATCTTCCAGGTGCTTGGATTACATGTTTGTGAGGCCAAACCCAGCTAATTTTAAATTTTACTTAATGTATTTTCTGAGACAGTCTTACTTCCCCCCCTCCCCAGACAGGGTTTCTCTGTGTAGTTTTGGTGCCTGTCCTGGATCTCTGTAGACCAGGCTGGCCTCGAACTCACAGAGATCTGCCTGGCTCTGCCTTCCGAGTGCTGGGATTAAAGGTGTGCGCCACCATCGCCACTGCCCAGCTATTGAGACAGTCTTACTATTCAGCCCTGGCTGGCTGGCCTTGAACTCACAGAGATCTGCCTGCTCTGAATACTGGGGTTTAAGATGTATACCACCACACATGGCACTTTCTTTAAATTTTAAAGGAAAGCACCAAGATTTGACAATTTGCAATTTCCTAACTTGGAAAGACAACTATTTAGAAAACTGAGTATCTGCAAACAAGTCAGGTTCCAGAGCTCACTTACTTGCCTGGCAGATCCTCACCTTTATGTGCAAAAGGTCACTGTGGTCTCCCAGAGGAGGTGGATGACGATGGGCACTGCAGTTGGGTGACTTGCTCCTGGGCCGAGAACCATGGAGGCTGGAGCTGCGCCCCACCTGAGAGGGCACTGTTCTGTCTGCCAGGGTTTCCCTGGCTCCACTCCTGCACCACTAACCTGCCATGGACACGTCTCTTCACCTGCTCTATCAGAAACTGACTGTGGACTCTGAGCAAGCAAAGACCAGTCAGCACAGACTCAAAGTTAGCATGTATTTTCATGTCTACAAGACCCTTTTCAAGTTGTAGGGAAATTTAATTGATGTATATACAAATTAGACACTGCTAATATGTACAAAAGTATTTTCTACATTTTTGACAATATCAACTATGCCATTTGCAGTAAACAGGATGTTACAAAACTGTCCAATAAAGCATTTTCTATTAAGCACATTACACAATGTAATTCAATTTTATTAAAAAAATAACTTCAAAATACAGAATGATCCTGGTTAGGAAAGAAAGCCATTTCTGTAGTTCACTTGAGTATAAACAGCCAGGCTGACACTGCTAAGGTGAGAGCCTGCCCGGACAGGTCAGGCTGTCCATGGTGGCAGGAGGTGGCACGCCCTGCCTCTTCCTATGCCAACCCCCGGAACCTGCCAACGCCTGTAACTCCCCTGGCCACCGGACTTCAGATATTTATCTCTGTTCTAGTTTGATCTAGTCACATGAACCTTTAAGACAGGAGGAAGGCAGAGGTTTTGAAGAAAGATGAAGGCTCAAAGGATCCCTGTTGGTTGAAGATGGCTAAGCCTGGGGCAGGGATGTGGGCACCCCCAAAAGAGCCCAGAGAGGCCCCAGCTGACAGTCTGCAAGAAAGTCACTCCTCCTCCGAGTCTTCATGAGGCATGTGTCCTTCCAGCCCTTAGCCACAGCCCTGAGACCCTGAGCAGTCAACCCCACCATGCCTGGCCATGAGTTACAAAGCTGATAGTCAGTGACACATGGGTACTGTTTTAGGCTGAGAAATTTGGGATAATTTGTTACACAGCTACAAAACAACGATACGTTGCCCAATAGTGACTTTTCCTTACTAATTCCATTTGGCAGTTTGTTTGGGCTCTGCTTGCATTCTTCTCACCAACTAGTAGATTCAAACATCCTTCTTTGTAGGAAACTTTTAGGGGAAAAAAAAAACCCACTATAAACCACAGGTTTAATCTTCAGCCAAGCAATAACTTCTGATGTTATCCTGTTTTCTAATGAACTTATATTTACTGGTATGCTGAACAATGGCTGGCCACCAAAATGCTACTTATGTACCTCATAAGGGTGACAGCATTATTTTTGGGGTACAAGAGCATCCTTACATGCTAAGCATATGCTACACTGAGCCACATGGCCCTGGAAAACCATTTTCACACATCGGTGCCTCCCTCCATTGGGCCAGGGCTGTTAAGGTCCTCTAGCAGCTAAAGGCTTTTCCTCTTCCCAAATACACCGGCAGCAGGGCCTGAGATTGGATGGTATAGACTTTGACACCATATACAGAAATTCTTTCTGTGAACAGGATTAAACCGGCACTAAGGTGATTAAGTACACTTGGGGAAAGAATGCAAATTAAAGAGTGAAACAAAGAAACAAACCCAAACTAATTTCTACAGGTTATTTTAGGAGGAACCACGCAAAGCCACAAGAACATCTTTCTGTGCAGCAGCCTGTGATCCTTCTGCTCCCAACTCTTGTCCTGGGTTGTCTCCAGTCAGGCAGGGCTTCACGGAGCCAGTAGAGGTCTCAACACAAACAGGGAAGAGGTTGGCTGTTGCCACAGTGTGAGAGCAGAGCTTTGCCAAAGTGTCTCTGGGATGTGCTAACTAAAGAAGTGGAGTTTCTTCTGAAGTCCACTCTCCAGCTGACTCTTCCAGCACACATGTGCAAAGCAAGATGGCCAACCTTGCAGGCTCTGTCCAAGACACCTGCACCACACATCTGTTTGGAAGAAGCCCTACCTTCATAGTGAACCCAGCTCAGAAGAAATAATTTTTGGTGCCAGTGAATTTAAAAAAAGAAAAGAAAGAAAGAAAAAAAAGCCATGATTCTATCTTCTGGCATCAGGACATGTATATGAAGTAAGGTGTAAGAGAACCAAAGGCACCAAGCACCAAAGTGAGAGCTGGAACAGCAACACGATCTGCAGTCTCTGTGGAAAGGCAAACATGGCGACATGCGCCACCACCCTGCACACCTGGCCACAGTCAATATGGATGTGGATGGCCTAGTTTGACAACACACACAAGACTATAACCAGCACAGGGATGTGGGGACCTGTAGCTTGTGACAGCTCTCCACAATTCTGTTTGGCAGCATGGATGCTAAAACCTGAAAACACTGTTGACAAACCTGAATTCTATGGACTATGTGAGCTACAAACACTGCAAATTATACTTACATCAACTTCACCATTTCTTGATTCAAGAAAATGAAAATTCCATAGTTGTCTACTGTAAAGTGGGGCATAAAAATATTTCTAGTTGACACCTGTACTTGAAGTGACAGGAACTATCCACTGTTGGAATTGAGTTCTAATACTGAAACACAACAGACTGCCGTCCAGTTTCTTAAGCTTTAAGTTACCAATTATTTACAGTTAAGATACAATCTGTGTACAAAGATCCCTCAGCTGTATCTGCTGCTCTCACTGGGGCTCCGGTGATGAGAGTAACTTCTGTCACTTTCACTGTCCGAGCCATACGATCGACCGCTCCTGCATAACAGAACAAAACAACACAACACAAAAGCCTTTAACTCCTATTATTTGGGTTCTAACTATGGCAACACTATGGGCTTTTCAAAGATGTATAAAATGGCAAATGGTAGCAAAATCAAAGTTAAGATAACAAAGAAACCTCACAATAGTGAGGTTTTATTTTTAAATTTACTTGAAATTCATTCATAAAATTGAGCAAACTACTTTTTTACTACACCCCAGTGAACATCAACATTGGATTAGACTGAAGCGGGAAGGGTTTAAAGGTACAGAGTCTCACTAATAGTGTGGGTGTGGGTTTGCATGTGAACAAAACCATTAGGACCCTAGCCAATGGGCTTGGTTATGGTCATAATTCAGTTCATGTAAGAGTATTTTCTGGCCAGGCAGTGGTGGCGCACGCCTTTAATCCCAGCACTCGGGAGGCAGAGGCAGGTGGATCTCTGTGAGTTCAAGGCCAGCCTGGTCTCCAAAGCGAGTTCCAGGAAAGGCACAAAGCTACACAGAGAAACCCTGAGTCATGGTAGGCATCATCCCACCACAAATGAGCAAACCACCTAAGGGCTCAAGGACAGTGTAAGACTGTGGACAGGTAGGTAGTGCACTGACAACCCCAAGGGTATATTCAGGAAGGAATGCACCTCAGAGTTAGCAGTGGGATGGAGGTGGGGGTTTCCCAGGGCAATGGGCTGCAGTGGAGACCCACTGGGAAGCAGGGGATTGCGGGGTGGGTGTTACATGATCACTTTAAGACACACAAAAAACAGAAATGATGGAGATGGCACTTATGTTTTTGGGCAGAAGGTTCTAGAACATTATAGGATGTTGGAACTGGAGCTGGTAATTGGAAGGCTTCATGTACAAGAGTGTAAGGCACCTGGACCTGTGAAGACAGCTGGCATCCCCTGAAACAGTTCAAGCAAGGGATTGGTCACATGCACTGTCTGTAGAAAGGTTTCTGGAGTGGAACTAGATGAGGGAGGGTGACAGCAGCCATCAGCAAGGGACAATACAAAAGTTTTTATAAAGTTTTACATCTTATTAAACAATACAATATAAACCTTAACCGTGCTGCTGAACAAATAATTATGATTAATTTAATAAAATGACAAACTGGCTGTTCTAGTAAATTAGCCTGACTTTCAGAAGTGAGCCATGATTTGGTCTTCTTACTCCTTCCAAAAGAAATATTTGGTCAAAGCTATACGAGTGTTTGAAAACCCACTTTAGTTTCAACTATAAAATAATAACTAACAACTAACTATTCACTGGCAACTCTTAGTACCAAAGCCATATTTAACAGCTGCCTGTAGGCCAATGGAATTCAAGAAGAGAAGCGTTGACAGTCCACTTGCACCAAGTGCCCAGTCACTTGTAGTGTTCTAAATCAGGACCCACCTGGACCGCCTGTTGTAACTTCTGCCTCGATGGTAACTGTCACTCCTCTGGCTGCGGCTGTGGCTGCGACTCCGGCTGTAGTAGCTATCATAAGTGTAGGATCTGCTTAAACAGAAACAGCACGCATTATATTTCCTCATTCAAATACGGAAAGTCTCCTTTTTAGGGCTGTCAGATGGTGCTAGCTCACATGGGCACTCTATGGAGGTGTGAGGACAGTTGCATAAGAAGTTCTAGAAACATCCAGCAACTGCCCCCAATTGGACTTACCATGTTAAAGAGAAAAATGCTAATTTCTTTTCTGCATTGAAAAACATCACAAAGTTAACACTGAGTTAGTTTGTCTGAGTCTGGATCTTATTATGCAAGTATATTCAACAAGCACCTGCCAATTACAATTTGACATTGTTGCACAATGGGCCTCAGATCTCATTTTTAAAGAGTATGATTTCAAACGATAAACATTCATTTAAGTTATTTGATGGAAAAATCCAACATTTAGCTGGGGAGGTAAACTTCATGGCAGAGGAGGTGCTGTGTGCTGCACCTAGGCCCTGGGGGTCAAGCCCCAGCACTACACGCCAGCCCTCCTACCCCAGCACACTGGGGCCTCCCACTGCCACTTACCTGGAGCGACTGTGAGGGTCATAGGAGCTGCTCCTGGACCTGCTCCTGCTGGATGTCCTGGAATGTACCACAGGAGGGACTGTCACCTTGTGCATTAGGGCACAGGTCACATTAACAATCTAGACATTTTTGCCCATCAAAGTGAAAATATAGTGAAATCTTTTAACTCTTTATTTTTATCACAAGTATATTGGATTTTCTTTATAAAAACCTTGTATTTCATAAAGCTTTATGTAGTTCTCTGGAGAGACTCTCAGCTGGGTGGGAAGAGAAAAGGGCCATTTACATGAGTGGCCACAGCAGAAAATACCTCAAAATGCCAAAGGGAAAAGCATCTGGGAAGAAAAAGTGCACGCCCTGCCCTCTAGCACACACTTTCCTCTTGGTTTCCTCACTATAACCCCATTTTAACCCCTAAGTCAAGTCAAGAGGTGACTGTGCTTGTGACCCTCAGTAAGATCTATGTATGAAGGAGTTAAGAGTGACATGGCCTTTCCAGACTTCTGTTTCTCTGCCTCACTCTGAAGAAGGAACATCCAGGAAGAGTTCAGAGCTCCAAGAGCTGGATGAGAAACAGATCAGTGTGGTATCTGACAAGGACAGATCTACAGCTGTCCTGCTCTGTCCCAGAAGGGGTCCACTGCAAGTGACAGAGCACCACACAGCAAGGCAGGACCATAGCTTACCTATGGCTATGGAAACTTCCATAGGAACTGCTCCGGCTTCGGGTTCGGCCTCTGCTGTACCAGCCTCTGCTCCGGCTTCTAGAGTAGCTTCTTGATCTACAGTGGAAATGAGTGAGAAAGAGCACAATGTGTGTACTCCCCAGTTAGGATGGACAGTGGGGCAGGGGGGAAGCACAACCAGGATAAGGTCTCTCTCAAACTGCACGGGGACAGTCATGAACTTGCAAAGAAGTAGTCCAGAAGAGGCCACCATGGCTTAAACAAACAATGAGATAAAGAACAGCCACAGAAGACTGCTCATGAACGTAACCACTTACTGGTCTCCTGTCACCGGGACACCCCCCTCCCCGCCCTTTCATTAGTTGTCACTCTCATTCTTTGTATTCTTCAGTCTATCTTGATGACAAAGGCTGGATGAAACTTGAACAAAACATTTGAACATGATCACAAAACTTGATAACTTAGATAGAGTTGCCTTGGACATCAACTCTGCATCCATGGCATGTACCTTCCACATGTGTAAAAGGGTAGTTAGATCAACAATCCCTAAGCCCTGCAGATTCTGCTCAAAGGATTCTTTGCAAAAGCATGGCAACCTAGGCAAGAAAGCCAGCCACTTGACACCTCTGAAAATGGAGGGATTTGTCACTGGTCATGGCAAGAGAGCTTTCACTGTCCAAGTGATAAATCTACAGATAATGATGGTCTTTTCAACTCAGCCCAAATTTCTTCTCCTGAAATGCCCATTTCTTATCTATGTCCTCTATCTGTGGTTTTGGTCACATGGAATAATGCTTCTTATTCCCCTGTCAGATATTTGGAAACAGTGATCACATTTATGTTCTTCTGAGCTAAATGACATTGGGGGGGGGGGTGAAATTTCTTACCGGTAAGATGATGTGGAACTTCTAGATCGACTTCTTGAGTGACTATAGGAGACAGACCTTGTTCTGTGTCGAGATTTGGTTTCAGATTTACTTCGAGATCTGTGTGGACTCCTGGACTGGCTATTACCATCCCGACTAGGTGTCTGCTCATCACTGGAACTCTCTTGATTCCGTGGCCTCCGGTTTAGGCGTGCTGTCTTTCTTACTTCATCAAAGAGAGACCCGGGCCGAACTTTATTTTTGCTTTTGATTTCTATTCTCAAGCCTTGTGGTTTCACTTCAGGCACAGGAGCCAATGGCTTCACATCCAGAGCACTGGATGTGGTTGCAGTAGGCACTGCCAGATTCCCTACACCCTGCAATGGCTTCCACTTCTCTGTGAGGTTCATCTGGCTCTTCTCAGCCCCCTCCTTCTTTCCAGCAATTTCTACAGGACTGGCCAAGCTGGCAGAACTGTCCTGTTTTCCACCTTCACTTGAGGTTTTACCTTCAGACACAATGGTTTCTTGTTTCCCTCCTGCTCTGGGCTGTGCCATGTGCTCGACCTGCTCTGGAATAATGCTCACCTCTGGGCTGTCCAGCCTGTGGCTTGCTAATGGGGACACTCCCTCTCCCTTTGCAGGAGAACTCCTATCCGGGGTGCAAATGTCCATGTTGTCATCTGTCTGAAGCACGTCCTCCCCTCCACCTGGGACATGCTCTTCAATGGGCTGGGTGCTAGGGGGAGAGCTAGTAGCATTTTCCTCCACTTTGGGAGATGCAGGGCAAGGGCTGGGATGCCGATCACTCTCTGCAAGTGGGTGGTGCTCTGAAGTATCCTTCTTAGGGTTACTGGGACAGCTGCCTTCATCACAGGTTTTCTCTACTTTTGGAACATTGTCTTTTACAGTTTCACACTTCTCGGAGACATGCTTTTTTTCTCTTGGCTCCTGCGTAAGTTGCTTTCCATTCATCTCCTCCTCCTCTTCATCACCAAACTCTAGTGGAGGCTGCCAGTGAAAGGCTTGCTTCCGTTTCGGAGCCTTGTGTTTTTTGTCTTTTTTGGCTTTCAATTTCTCTCTCACCTTTTTTGTGTGATCCCCTTTAAGACTATCCTTTGGGCATTTTTGCTTCTGGGGCTCTGCTCTAATGTTTCCCAAGTTGGAGCAGGAGCCCTCTGACTCAGAAGCCGAAGACTGTGGTCTCCTAGACTTCCAGGCACCATTACTGTCAGGCAGAGAAGTGTTTGCTGAAGGCTTTGCTGGGGGTTTGGCTTTGAAGTGACTCTGACCAACTTCTGACTCGGAGTCTGAAGAGGCTTCACCCTCTTCCTTATCAGAACGTCTCCCAGGATCACTTTTCCTGTTCTTAGTCACATCTTGTTCTGAGTTCGACTCCGAGTCCCATTTACTCCCAGCACAGTTCTTCCCTTTAGACTTACTGCTGTCTCTAGAGTGACCAGAAAGATTCTCTTTTAAAGTTCTCTTTTCCCATTCAGGCTTGGATTGCCCTTCCTCTCTGCTTTTCCCCTGCTTATCACTCAATACTTCTGTTTTCCCCTGCTTCTCCTTCTCTGGGGCCGAGTGCACTCCTGGAGCATGTGACTGTTCACTGTCTGAGGAGGAATCTAAAGACGATCTGCTTTCACTATACTTTCTGTGACATGGAGACTTCTCTCTGCCTCTGACATATTTACTGTGAAGTATCTTTTTTGAGCTGCTGCGGTGTCTTTTACTTGAGGTGACACTCTTTTTCCCACTAGATCTAAATGTCCTCGCGGCTCGTCTTCCATCATCACTGCTAACGGAAGTGTATGAAGATGACCTACTGCGCTGGGAACCATCACTGTACTTATTCTCTGAGTGAGACCTAGATGACAGAGACCTGGACCGAGAGCGTGAAGTAGGCTGACTTCGTGACCTTGACCTTGTGTATGACCTAGAGGATGACCTGCTCCTAGAGGACCTGCCCCCTGACCTCCCTGAGCTCCCAGAAGTTCTATCACTGTACCTTGAATGAGCACTGCCATCACTCTCAGAATGGTTTTCCCTTTTGTGATAGGAAGATGAACTCCCAGTCTCTTTAGTATGTGTTAAACTGTATGTGCTTTGGACAGGCAGCAGGTGGGTTGTCTTAGCCTTCATCTCCTGAATCCGCTCGTACGAGGGCTTCCAGGGCTTCTGTCCAGGCTTCCACCGAGAAGGGGGAGGGCTGTCACTCAAGGGTATTACAGGAATGTTTTCTGCTGCCACTGGCTGCACTAGCACACTTCCATTCTGTGGCATCGATGATCTTAAAGGTTCTGTCTTAACTGGCTTATTTTCACTCAAATGAGCAGGGTTTTTTGGTGATTTTGATGATGTTCTTCGGTGCCCTGACCTCGAACTAGATCTGGACTTTGATCTATTGTGAGAACGCGATGAGGACTTTGACAGAGCCCTTGATCTCGAGCTCCCTCTAGAATCCGATCGGGAACGAGACTTGGATCTGTAGGAGTCTCTGCTGGAGTGGGTAGAAGAGCTCCGGTCGTCCTTGTCCGAGTTAGACCAGTCCCGCTTTGATGAGAGACGCGAGGAGGAGGAGGAGGAGGAGGCACGAGATCTCCTTTCTCTCTCACAAGAGGTCTTCATTCGGTGGGTGGAAGATCTTGAGGGTTCCAAGTCAGGTGGCATAACTACTCTTCTCTTCTTTGTCTGTCTGTGTCTTCTGCAATGCTTCTGCTTTTTAGCTTTTTTTTTATGCTTAAACTTCTTTTCCTTTCTGCGTTTCTTGTGGTGACCATCAGAGTGTCTTGCTGTACTAAGATCAGAATAGTATCCATTATAGGACCACGATCTGGATCTCTGGGATAAGCTTCTTTCATCCCATCGGCTGGAACAGGGGTCACTTAGCCTGTAAGTGGGAGACACAATGTGCATGCAGTTATTTGCAAACATTTTCTGCGTCTTACAACACACTTCTTACTAACACAGAGTACCTAACTCCATACTTTAACATGAACCAGAGCGATGACAACTATTATTAGACTCACAAAAGATTCCTCTTGTTTCTAATTGAATCAAAGACTCTGAATGTTTGTGAAAAACACATCAACTAACCAGAGTCCTATGGAGACACAACTCCCCTATGATCTGCTCACAACCTTCTCCCTCCAAGAGCAATTTCTGAGAGAGTGAAACCAGGTTCCCAAGCAACCTCACTGAGGAGCCTCTACAGACATAAACTTGCAACTTGGATGACTTGTCTCTGTGGTGCTGGGCATCACTCAGGTGATGCATGCTAAGCAAGCACTGTAAACAGAGCTAGAAATCCAGCTTTGACTCAACTTCAAGAGTCTTCTTAAAAATTTCTTCTTTTAAAAAAATCCATGTGTGGGCTGGAGAGATGGCTCAGAGGATAGGAGCACTGGCTGCTCTTCCAGAGGTCCGGAGCTCAATTCCCAACAACCACATGGTGGCTCACAACCATCTGTAATGAGATCTGGCGCTCTCTTCTGTATACATAATAAATAAATAAACCTTAAAGAAAAATCCATGTGCACATGTATGCTTGTGTGCACATGTGGAGGGCACCCCAGGTGCCACTCTTAGGAACACCAATTCCTTTGAGAGAGTCTCTCATCCATACAGCAGACTGCTGTCCAGCAAGCCCCAAGGTTCCTCCTGTCCCCACCTCCCCAGCACTGGGGTTATAAAGCACTCACTGTCACACTGTGACTTTCACACATATTTGGTGTCCTCATGCTTGCAAGGCAAGCACTTTAGCAACTGGGCTATCTTCCTAATCACTTTGCTTCTGGTGAGACAGGTTCCTGTGATGTGGCCTAGGATGGCCTGGAACTCACTATGTGGTCTAGGCTGCCCTTAGCCTCCCAAGCACTGGGATTATAGTGCCATCAGGCCTGGCTAAAAAGCTGGGTTATTTATTTATTTAATTTTTCACTTTTTAAAAATTTAATGTGCATTGGTATTTTGTTCGCATGTATATTTGTGTGAGGGTGTCAGATCCCCTGAAAATGGAGTTACAAGCAGTTGTGAGCTGCCATGTGGGTGCTGGAAATTGAACCTAGGTACCTCTAGAAGAGCACTCGGTGCTCTTAACCACTGAGTCATCTCTCCAGCCCATTTTTCTTTTTTAAAATGTTATTTCTTTTTGAGATGTCTTAGTATACAGCCCCAGCTGGCCTGCGATGCACCATGTAGACCAGGCTTGAACACACAAAGATGCATGTGCCTGCCTCTCTTCCCCAAATACTCAAGACTAAAGGCAAGCATCACTATGCCCAGCTTCATTAACTAAGTAAGTCACATGACACAGAAATGTCCTTAGTGGGAATCTATTTACATGCTGAAATGACAACTACATTCTCTCCACTTCACTGTGGTAATTAACACTTTGTCCTAAGCTCCTATTAATTACAACAGAAATCAAACACAATGACACGAAACTGACAAAGGCTTTGTGATCTTAAGAGGTAAAGATGCAGCTCACAAGTGAGAGTGCTCAGCACCACGTCTACGCTATTTCTACACAGCAGCTGCCCACCTTTCCCTTGTTCTTTCAATTCAAAACCATTCTCTTAAGATGCCTTCAGAGAAACCAGAATCCTCCCATGAAGAATTCCTTTCCCACTAGCTATTCTGGAGCCAGACCCCTTTGGGAAACTATGGGGCACCACTGTTATCCAACAGTCCCTGGAGTCAGAGATTAACTCACGTGTGATGCAGGCTCTGTTAACCAATCCATGCACCTGTGACGAAGGTATCTGTCAAGTCAGACACCTACTAGTAATGTCTAAGACCTGAACACTTCTACAATTGAGAGTCCATTCCAACTTTCAGCAAGGAGAAGCCGCACCTGACTGGAGAACCCCTTGGTCTCAGGTGGCAGCAATGTGCTCCTACTAGCTTCTCCTCTGGCCATCGTGACCCAGGTCTCAGACAGTGACGCCCGGCACTTAGCGCTCTGCCTCCCGGCTGTGCTTACACTCTAGGCACTTACTTGTCTCCTTTGCTCCACCTCTCCCCGCTTGGCGGCCGATACGCTCTTAGTCTCTGCATCTCCTCCTTCCAGTGAGGAGGAGTTTCACTGCTGTCATCATCTTCAGACTCAGAACGCGATCTTGACCTTGGAGGTGTGTGGTAGCGCTTAAACACAGAGAGGGCAGTGAGTGACTGTGGTGACAGTATACTTGTGCTCTAACAAATAAAGCTTGTCTGGGGGTCAGAGGACAGAACAGCCACTGTATTAAACATAGAGGTCAGGCAGTGGTAGCACACGCCTTTAATCCTAGCATTCGGGAGGCAGAGATCCATCCAGATCTCTGTGAGTTCAAGGACACACTGGGAACAGAGCCAGGCATGGTGGCACACACCTTTAATCCCAGCACTAGTTAACCATAGAGGTTTGGAGGCCTGTACAGACAGATAGGAAGTGATATAGCTAGCGGAGAGAGGAAGTGAGATAGTAGAGCACAGAAAGGATATAGGCGTGAGTATACAGGAAGTAGCTCTCTCTTGGGCTGAGGATTTCCTAGAGGTAAGAACTTGTGGCTGGCTTGTTCTATCCCTCTGATCTTTCAGCCCTCACCCCAATATCTGGCTCTGGATTTTTTTTATTAATAAGACTGTTTAGCAATTCGTGTTACAACTGTTCTAAAAATGCCCCTTGTAAGACAGAGTCAGCAAAAGTCTAACCTAGGCACTGATTTATATCAACTGGATAGTGTGAAGGTGTTTCAGGTACAAGACATTTACCTGAAATCCTATATAACAGCTTCCTGCAGTCCTAACACACGCCAGTCTCCATTACTCAAGAGACTACAATTTCTCAATATGCTATTGCACGTATTATTACATCACTGAATAATTAAATTCATCCACAGCTGTAAATGTATGCAATGGCAGTACCTTCCCAAACTATGGGAAATAAAAAAGATTTCTTAAATAGGAGGAATAGTCTTTTTGTCTTTTTTTTTTTTTTTTTTGGACATAGGGTTTCTCTGTTGTAGCCCTGGTTGTCCTGGAACTCGCTCTGTAGACCAGGCTGGCCTCAATCTCAGATATCAACCTGCCTCTGCCTCCCAAGTGCTGGAATTAAAGGCATCTGCCACCAATGCCTGACAGGAGAAATATTCTATCTAAAACTAAACCTCAGATTTTTAAAATAAATTTTAAAAAAATTACTATTTAGGTAAGCATTTTGAAAGAAAAACGTTCTAACATACGTACAATTGTGCCTCTTCCTTTAATTTTCCGTCCAGACTTTGATACAGATGGTTTCTGATCACTTACAACAGGTGTAACATCTGGAATGTTCCTGAAAAAGTTGTGATGACCATGAAAAATCAGCAAATGCCAGAATGTCTTCCAAATGTTCCAAGGCAGAACTACAGTCTTTACAAGGTTTCATAGTTCATGACATGAGAATTACATGAAATTCTCATCCATCCACATATTTCTGAGCTCACTCAGCTATGAGGTGCACCACACATCACCAGATACAGTCACAACTAGCACTTCAGGTGCTACATACAGGACCCTGCCAACATAAGGTGTGTGAGCTCTCGCTGCAGACTACAAGACCAAAGCTCTAACAACTCTTCTAACAGAGAATACTAACTTGAACTCTAGATAGGAGTTATCCTGCCCCAGAAGAATTCCATTAGTAAATATGTAATTTGAAAAATTAATATTTACTACTTTGATTTTTTTAAAAATAAAAGATCTATGGAGGAAGCCAACCATGCCAGCACATGCCTGTAATCCCAGCATGTGGGGGACTTCAATGCCAGCCTAAGCTATACAGCAAGACCCTGTCTCAAAAAGAAATAAGCAAAGCAAACAAGAAACTGAAGGGCTAGGGGTACAGCTCTGCCTGACTTCCCAGCTTCCTAAACTACTCACAGGAACTTCCGACTTACAGCAGGCACTGCAGCATCTTTGTTCACAGAACGTAGTTTTCTCTCCTCCCTCTCCTTCCCCAACTCCCTCTTTTGAGACTAGACCTGGTCATGTTGCTCAGGATAAACATCACTCCTGAGGTCAAATAATCTTCCCCAATTGTCCCTGCCCACCACAGGCTGCAGCACTCAGGAGAGCTGTCCCTGCACCTCACCTGGGCACACAATAGAACCAGCCCTGTTCACAGAGGTGTAGGCAAGCCATCACCGAAGCTGTAAGCATGGGAGAGCTGTCTCCACTACTTGTCTGTCAGGTGATGGTGTGGGTGGGGGAGAGATGCCCCTGTGCCCCCCCAACCCCTTCCCGTCTGCAACAGCCACAGCCGAGCAAGATGGCCCTCCCCCCTTGCCAGCTGCAGCACTCAGGAAAGCAGGCCCTGCTCCTCACCTGGGCAGCACAGCAGAGCTGGCCCTGTTGTTGCAGGTGTGGGTGACCTAGGCGCATTGATGCAAGGGAGAGCCGTTCCCTTTACTCATCTGATATTTGGCAGCATGGGTGGAGGGGAGATGCCCACCCCCACCCCCAATCAATGCCTGAGACAGGTGGAGGAGTTGGCCCTGGAATTCTAAGAGCACAAGGGTTGTCCCAGCCCCTTGTCAGCTGTAGCACTCAGCAGAGCGGCCCCTGAACCTCGCCTGGGCAACACAGTAGAGCTGGCCCTGATGGTGTAGGTGGGGAAGAGCTGACCCTGAGGGTGTGAGAGCAGAACTGGCAGGCTGGCCAACCCTGCAGCTGCCCAGGCCCAGAAGTAGGGCTGTGACTTGGCCCACACCAATATCTACCCCATCTATGATCTGCTGGAGCATGTGAAGGGGCCTGACACACAGACCCAAAGCTGCAAGATCTGCACAACACAGGGCAACAACAGAATATTCAAGAGGAGTCTCAATGAGGGCCCAGCATTGATAGTGTACTAGAAAACAGAGGTCTCGAACCAGACCAATGACGCTTTGCAATGAACACTTGCAAGTAAAGACATATAGACAAAGGGGTTTACTTTGTGACTCACTGTGTCACACAGCAGCTTCCATGATGAAATTTTAAATTTTTTCCTTTTTTTTCCTCTTAAATTCTGTTTTATTTGGGGGGAAGGGTTGCAGAGGTAGAGGGCGGATTCGAAGGGACAGGGAAATGAATGTGATCAAGATGCATGATGTAAAAGACACACTGAATAAATAAAAAGAAAAAAAAATCTTTTCATTTGTTTAAAAAAAAAAATCTTCCCCGTGGCTAGGCCACATGCACATGTCACCATGCTCATGTCCTTTTAATAATTCCAAATTTAAATCTAATACATGAAGTATATTAAATATTATTTTCTGAGACTAAACCTAAAGCCACAATACAGGGAAATTAACTACAGTAATATTATGATACTAAATTTTATCTCCAGTCACTATGTAATTAACTTTGCACTATTAAAAGTGAAACAGATTTCACCACTCAGTTGGATGCACAGGGCTCAATCAACCTGATAATCCTTTCTGAACAAAAGGCCAATCAGCAAGACCAGTAATATAACCTTTCCAAGACCTCTAAATAAGCACTTACCCTCCCTGCCAGGCAGGCAGCATATACATAGCTATAACCCTAATACTCTGGAGGGATAAAGCAAAAGGATCAGCAGTTCAAGGCCAGCCTGCAACACATAGCAAGATCCACAAGCAGACAAAAGCCACCGAAGCAAAACAACAAAACACACCTTCTTCAATGAATAACTGTCCACTTCCTTTACCTGTTTATGTACTCAAGTGTGGATTCCGAAAAGGAGTCATGGTGAGGGAGTGTAAGGTAGCAATGAAATAATGGATTTACCCATCAAAGAAACAAAAATATACAGTGTAATCGCTAATCATCACTGTCACCTTGACTGGATATCCAATCACCTACAAGACTGGGCATCCTAACTATCCCACGTGCTAGGGCCAGGGCAGATTAAAGGAGGAAGAAGGAGAAAGCCAGCTGAATGCCAGCATTCCCTTCCTTCTGCTTTTTGTCCACTGTGCTGTGGGCTGCTCCATGGTACCCCTCTGCAGTGATAGACGTAATTCCCTGAAACCATGAGCAAGGTGTTTCTGTCAGTGGACACAGCAGGGAGAAGATTAATACGTTCATCAGCCTACTTACGGTTCAGGCTCCACTGTGACAGCAGGCATATCTCTTCTAAGTAAAAATCGGTTCTCGGGAACTGGAGGAATTTCTTCTGGACGGACAACTGGCTTTTCTCTTTTAGCATTTGAATCACCTGATCTTTTTTCATTCACATCACTTCTCTCAGAATAACTAAAATATAAATCAAGCCACCAATTTAGATGCTAGTATTCACAAAATAAAGGCACATAAAACATCGAAACTTACACTCACCCTGAAGTGTTGACTTTTACAAACATATAAAAACATCAACATATTAAAAAATGCAAAGAAAATTTTTATAAAAAAAAAAAACAACTAAAATTTTGAAATGGAAGTTGTCAATTCTGCTAATGTTTCCTTTGTTTGTTGGTTTTTTCGTTTTTTTTATTTTGTTTTTTGAGACAAGGTTTCTCTGTGTGTAGCCCTGGCTGTCCTGGAACTCACTCTGTAGACCAGGCTGGCTTCGAACTCACAAATTCGCTGCCTCTGCTTCCTGAGTGCTGAGATTAAAGGTGTGCACCACCACCTGGCAATGTTTCCTTTCTTTAAATAGTATTTATTTACTTACTGGTGTGTGCTAGTGTGCCATGATGTGGACTGAGACAACAACTTGTAGGAGATGGCTCCCTCTTTAAACCAGGGGTCAAATTCAGGCGTGGTGAGAAGCCACTGAGCCATCTCAATTGCCATGCTTTAGGGAGAATCAAGCTTTCTTCAGGGTGTGGACCCTGGTGTCCTGCCTGTACCCCAGTGGGTGGCCTACACCCCTTGCACATCTAGGCCATATTCAATGGACTCGGTGGGTTACTGACAGAAGAAATAAAAGAGGAGGGAGACATAGTGGGAAATCTGAAGAGGGATTAGGAAGTAGATGATCAAATTAATGTATGAAATTCTCAAAGAATAAAAATACTGTATTAAGAAAAAGAATATCAGGCATTAGGACTGGCAAGATGGTTCAATGAATAGAGGCTCTTGTCACCATGCCTCATGTCTTGAATTTCATCTCTTGGGACCCATCTGGTAGAGAGAAACCACTCCTCCAAGCTGTCTTCTGACCTCCACATGTGCATCTATCACATACACACATCTCTGAATACACAAAATAAAACTTTAACATTAAAAAAAGAAAGTTCAGAAATACCTTCACCTGAAAACCCCACCAATCTTTGCTATGAGACGTCTAGACCACTCCTTGATTGTTAGAGGCATCAGGTTAAAATCCAAAGGCTCCCTCTGTAAGTACGGTAAGTAAGGACGCTGAGCTTGCGGCGTGGTCACTGTGCCTCCTGTTGCAGGCGGTGTGCTGGGTCGGACACTCGACTCACACTTACCCTTCAGGGCTCACTGTGCGCTTCCTCCTTGGCTCCTCTGAACTGCTCATTTCCTTCCGTCTCTTTTTAGTATGTCTGACTTTTGGCCTCCTCTTATGTCTCCTCCTTCTGATTCTCTCTTGTTCAACTTCACTTTCTGAGGATGATTCTGAAGAGGAAGAGGAATTGGAAGAAGAATCCGAGTCTTCTGAATGTGTTGGTTTCTTCCTTTTCTTCTCAAAAACTTTTAATAGATAGTAACAAAAATATTAGTGCTTGAGTCCAGTGCACACCCATCCAAGTGAAAAACGTGACTGCTGGTTATCATATCATGACTTCATGCACAGCAAACTAAAACTAAGACTTAATTAAACTTTTCCCCGGTTATATGTATAATAGTCACCTACAAACTTGAAAAATACCAAAGCCCTTACCCACCATGAAGTCTATAGTCTGAGTAAGTGTGGCAAGTGATGAAAGCTAAGACAGAAAATAAACCATAAAGGGAACAGAGAGATGCAGGTAGCTTAAGGTTACATTTGAGCAGAGACCTAAAGTAGGGAGGAGTCCTATAGATATCTTAACAAAGAATGTTCTAGACACCAAAGGGCAGGCACAAAGTCCCTTAGTGTCAGAATAAAGGTCGGTGTGGCTGGAGGACAATGCGTAAGGAAAAAGAAAGACAACAGAGACCACAGGCCTCTGTGCTAAGGATGCCACTGTAGGTGTGTCTAGGCAGGACGAACGTGTTTTCGAAATGTGGCTGAAGAGGATCACTGTGGTAGCTGTTAAAGACAAACCAAAGTAAAACAAGGAAACCAGCAAGGACACTCCTGCTGATCAATGGTCAGGGAACACAAGGAGACAGAGGCAAGGTAGGTAGCATGAGGGTACTGCGGTAACACAGGCATGGGCTGGCTTGGACAAGCCAGCAGCCAGGCAGAAGCAAGGAAAAGCTGACAGTATCTGCTGGTGGATGGGATAAGGCATTGGCACAGAAGCACCAAAGCTACCACCTCCACACAGAAATTGAGAAGGGATCTTAGAAACTGAGAAGGCAACTTCAAGTTGCCATACGCTTTACACTGATATCCCAGATTCCTCCACCCTTCAAAAGCTCTTACCATCTTTCGTCAACTTGGTGGCAAGCACACCACAGTCAATGACTCGGACATCTGCATAAGGTCTGCTTGCAGCATCTGTTTTCAGATTTTCAATCTGTTCAATTACTTCAAAACCGGAAATAACCAGTCCAAAGACGACATGAACCCTGTCATAATACAAATTCAAGAAATAAATTAGTCTGATAATTACATTATGAACAGTAATTGGGACAATGCCACAAAAAACATATCTACAGAATTGCAAACAAAGCCAAAGTATTACGAACCAGCTAGAAGGGAGTGACAACCTGAAATCTACTTCATTACAGGAAACAGCAACCGTTCATGTGAAGAAAAAATAGGACTGTTTCTGTAGTGGCTCCTAGCCTTTCTAGGGTTAAGAATCTGGTAACAGAGTATACTTCATACTGAGAAACCACCTCAACAAAGACAATCAAAACCACATGGCTGGGAAGACTACCCATGGGCACAAGTGAAAGACCTCTTTAATAACAGGAGAGATGGGCTCTTAAAACTACTGTCCTCTGTGCCCCTTCAGGAAGACTTTAGCTATGAAAAGACTAACCCCTGATCAACCAGTCTTTCAGGCTTAGCACCCAAATAACTCCCCAATATTTTAATAACTTGATGCTTACCCATCCAGGTGTGGAGCAGGCTTTGTAGTTCTGTACAATAAACATCAACACAAAGATGGTATCAAAAATGACGTATTCAGATGAAGAAAGCAGAAGGTTTAAACATAGCATGTAGTGAACAAAGAAGTAAAGATAAAAAGACAGAAAAATGTTAAGCATAATATATATCCAACCTTAAAGACCCCCAAACACCAATAATAGCCACTTTACTGATTAAAAAAAACAAGATTGCAATGAATTATAAAACCAACTCTATTAGAATATGAGATAGGTTTCATTTGCATTATAAAAAAATGTACAGAGTACACACTGAAATTAAATTTACTCTCAAATCAAAAACAATAATGGCAACAGAAACAAACAATAAAAAAAAAATTTCCCAGCAGAATTAAACGAGGAGGAAGGCCCCACACAAAGGAGTGATGAACACTGGCCACACACCCACTGGCTCTTCTATTTGTTACTTAGGACTGAGACAGTCTGCATATACTTTAAGGCAGGCAATGGAGAAGTCTCAGGAGTTCTATCCCTAGCTACAGAAATACCTGCCCCTCTTCTTTCACTCAAGCCTCGCCACTCACACTCTTGAAAATGCAATAGGGAGGGGCTTTCAAGCTGCAGATGCTCCTTACAGCAAAGTAAGAAATGAGGGGGGTATTATTGACATCTTCAATTTCCATGGTCCAGAAAACACCCCACTAGCTGCTCTGTGAATGTCCCACCGTCACTGTTGGGAACTCTGTGGGGTATACTTGGTTAAGATATTTTGAATTCAAGCTGGTTTTCCCGTAACATTTTCATAGATATTTGTATGTGAATTATAATGCAAAAATTCAAAAGTGGATAGCTTGATCATCATTAGACCAGAACCTTAACTAGTAAAGATAAAAAACAGATGAGCTATCAGGCCATATTAAAGCAGTCACTTGTGTAAGAAAAACTCATATGCATTTCTATGTACGTTTTAAAGCCATTCCAAGACACATGAACAGAACACAATCTAATAACCTTTACAACAATGCCAAAAACCATTACTGTACAAGAGACTGCAATGCTTATACTTACTTTAAGAGTATCCAGTTCTGTTAGGAGTATAGATAGTATTTAACTTAAAAATTTTCAATGTCAACTTAAGTTTCAGAACTTTAAATGAATTTTGAGTTTTAAAGTCACAAGTCTCAAATATTTCTTAGAAAACTGAGCAGAAATTAAAGATAGTATAATTGTAAAATAAAAATAAAAACAGGTAACGAAAAAAGGGAAAGAAATGAAGAAAATCTAACAAACATTGAAACTATGAAACAATCACCCAGAAGCCATGGCAGACAACAGCCGTGAAACAAGATGCTTCCTCTATTGTAGGACTTTATCAAAACACAAACTAACACACAAGCTAGACAGAAAGCCCTTCTAAGAAGGTGTAAGGGTGCTTCCAGAAAGACAAAACTGCTCTGCCAGGCAGAAGATGAAAGCACATGGTTGTTTACTGATTAGATACACTCCTCCTTTCTTGGGCCTCACTCTCAGGAATCTAGTATTGAGAAGAGCCTACAGATTTTTCTAGCACACCGAATTTTCCAATTCAACCGCCACCTCATCTAATACTGTATAAGACATGTAAGGCAAACTCTTGAAGCAAATTCCAGATACCTGCAGCAACACAAACTCAGACTGAGGATGGAACAGTGATCTTAGGATATTCAAGCTAGAATAGATAACCTGTCTCATTTTGAGAATGAACCCAGGTCCCTCCCATGTGCTAGGAACATGCTCAACCACTGAACTACATGGTCAGGCCCTAGTTCTGTGTTTAATTCAAATGAAAACTGGTCGATAAACAAACCCAGTCCTTAGTGTACACATGAACAGAGGAAAGGGTCATCTCTGCCTCTGAGGACAACTTTCAATGTGCTCAGCTTTCAAACCAATGTGAATCTTTTAATTTCCTGGCGCCTACAATTCAGGACACAGAAATATCAGCTTGCACCTTAACTGGGATAGAATATATAGTAAGAACATGAACAGTATTTCACAAAAAAAGGAACTCTCTGGATCTGAGCCTACAAATTCCAGGAGGACTCACTGTAAGGCAGGCTCACTGAGACTGTGTTGACAGTACACATGATAAACAGTCAACAGACCACAGGGTAACAGGAGGGCAGGAGGGACCGTGTGCTCAGCCAAGTCTATGAAAGCAGACAGAGAAACCCCACCCACCAACTCTTTACTACATCCAATGTTCTCAATGACATCACTGGTGCCAGTGAGATACACACAGTAAATGAAGACTCAGAAGACCAGAGCCGAGCAGAGATGTGTAAGTTTATACACACTTATTAAAGCAAAGGAGAAACAAAGACAAAAAGAAAAACAAAAAACATTTCAGACTATAAAGCTTCAGTGCTCACATGTTTCTATTTTCTGCTATCACTTAGAGACACAGGCACTCCAGCCCCTGAATCTACTTAAAACAGTTACTGCAGGGGTTCATTTAAATCACAAACCCTAGAAACTGAAGAGTATTGCTGTTGTTCCAAAGAATAAACTACACTTATGCCATCATCAGACCAGCTTTTGGACCTTACTACCTTCTAAAATTCTAATCTAAAACACTGCCCAGTGCACACAAGAGCCACTGAAATGAACTGTACTTCTTAGGTTAACCATAAGCAAGAAACACCCTTGTTTTACGTACACTGCTGCTACACAGAACAAGCAGAAAGCTTTTTTTTTTTCCTTAAAATGTTTCAATACACATAACAATAGGATTAAAGAAACAAAGGCAAAGAAAAAGAGAGAGCCTTAGAGTAATGAGACATTACCTTTGGAGCGCACGGTGTAACACTCTTTCTGTAAATTTTACACAAAAATGGCAAGAAATAAATTGTAGTACACTTTTAAGACAAGACTGAATCTATGTTCTAATATCAATATAACTTTGAAATTAAAATTTTATAGTTTTATGCAAAGCAAGAAAGCTTTTTAAAATGGAGGGCTCTAAATTTTCTTTCATAAGATATTTATGAAGAGATGAATATTGTTTTAGAAAGGCCTTGTGGAGATCTTCTCAGACTGATGGTATTTTAACACAGGGGATGGTAACAGCTAATAAAACATTAAAGCTCCATTTATAATCCCAGAGACTAGCTACGCCAAAAATCTTTCTCAAAAAGGTAATGCATCTTGAATATGAACACAGATATACAAATCCAAATACTAGAAGTAGTAACTTCTAGGAGAAAGCAATGACCCCCCACCCCTCTAAAAATACCAAGTTCAGATCATTCAAAACAGAACTTGAAGAACTTAACTATTTCAGTTCATTTTCATGCTTCTGCCTTTCAAACCCATTTTTGGTTATATATCACAACATAACAGAACTGACATATAAATATCAACATAAGTGGAAAATGATTTGGGCAGAGTCTAGACTATGCTCACTGCTTGTTGAACATACTCAAGCTGTTAAGTCACTGGACAGAATTAATAAAAACAGTCATAAGGGCACAATTAGAACTTTAAGATCTCCTCTGAGGCTCAAAAGGCAACAGAGGTGACAGCCTTAGAGCATAAACTCAAATCCTGGCCACAGGACTTATGTCTAATATGATTTTTCCCTTTATGAGAAGTCTTTTTTTTTAAGAACACACACTGATGAATTTTAACTAATAAAACCTAAAAAAAAAAAAAATAACAAAAACTATGACTAGATAAACCAAAAACCCTACTAAACCACAAACAAAAATTTGCCAGGAATTTAGGTATATTAAGTAAAATGTTTAAAAGTAAATTAGAATCTCTCATATACATGAGATGATACATGCATTAGTGTCACACACAAAAAAAGTTTTAAATCATGCAGTTTTTCTTTTCAGTAAAACAGAAAGGTACTCCAGGCCTAAAGTAAGAGGTCACGAAAAACAACTATTCTAATGTCATCTTTGGTATACAACTCGTTCCTTCACAGCCTGAAACTACAGCTGTCACAAAGAGGGGAGCTGGTGTTCAGGCAGTGGGCAACTCACAATGCTCTGTGTCCCCAAGGTCACTCAGACAGAAGAACCTTCTGAAACTCAGCTCTAATACAAAGGAAATACACAGAAATGATAACTAGACACATCTCTTCCTGACTGCTAACATGTATGTCGCACAAGCACTCAGTAAATCTAAGCCCAAGTGTTAGAAATGACATCTGATATTCAGAGAAAGTGGCTTTGAGTTCAAATATCACAAACTCCTTCCCTCTTAAAAAATTTCTGAAGTTAATGCCGGGCGGTGGTGGCGCACGCCTTTAATCCCAGCACTCGGGAGGCAGAGGCAGGAGGATCTCTGTGAGTTCCAGGCCAGCCTGGTCTAGAGAGCGAGATCCAGGAAAGGCGCAAAGCTACACAGAGAAACCCTGTCTCAAAAAACCAACAACAACAAAGAAAATCCTAGATCACGTGTCCCTGTCTTATTTATGACCTCTGTAGTAAGCTGGGGATTAGAGATATGGCTCAGTGGTTAAGAGCACTTACTGCTCCTCCAGGACCAGTGTTCATTTGCTAGCACCTCCTGGTGGCTCACAACCAGCTATGTAACCCAGTCTCAGGAGACATGGTGCCCTCTTAGGGCCTCCAGAGGCATTGTGTCCATGTGGTACACTGACACACATGCAGGCAGAACAGCCACACACATGAATGGAGAGGAAAGAGAAGAACTTCGTTCATAGATATAAAATCAACAGGCTGGGTGTGAAGGTACATGTCTTTAATGCCAGCACATGGAAGCAGAGGCAAGTGGGTCTCTGAGTTGCAGCCAACCACAGTTTAGAGGACTGCTTGTACAGCATTTACAAGATCCTTAAGTCTGACCACCAGCACTGAGAAAAAGAAAAAAACATTTTGTTTAAAGGTCAAGTTGAGCTTTTCTTTTCATCTTGTTTTCATAAAAATTACCATGACCAGAAATAGTGGCCAGTGACAGTCTATTCACCAAAGCTTTGAAGCCATAAAAGGCCTACACTGGGGCTGGAGAGATGGTTCAGCATAAGAGCACTGAATGCCCAGCACCCACAAGGTGGCTCACAATTCCAGCCCCAGAGGATCCAATGCCCTCTTCTGGCCTGAGGGCATTGCATGCACATGATACACAGACATGCAGGGAAAACACTCATGTGCACAAAATACTGGTTTTTGGGCTGGGCGGTGGTGGCGCACGCCTTTAATCCCAGCACTCGGGAGGCAGAGCCAGGTGGATCTCTGTGAGTTCAAGGCCAGTCTGGGCTACCAAGTGAGTTTCAGGAAAGGCACAAAGCTACACAGAGAAACCCTGTCTCAAAAAAACAAACAAACAAAAATACTGTTTTTTTTTTTTTTTTTTTTTTAAAGGCCTGCACTGACCACTATTTTAGTAGCAGCTGAGGGAGTGAATGCTGCAGCTCCTGGTTTAGACAAGATGAGTCCTACGTCTTTCTGAGGAGCTTTTCTGATGAACATTATTAGGTAGCTATAGAACAATTTCTTTTAAAGAATGCTTGTACACAAATCATTCCATATATTCAGAAATTTATAAGACATGCTCTTTCTTCTATGACATTTTTGTACCAAAGTGTTTATAGTTTATCTTAAAAATAGGGCTATTTGGGGCTAGGCAGATGGCTCAGTGGGTACTTACTGTGTGAGCATGAGGAACCCTAGTTCTGATAGCCAGCACCCACATAATAGCTGGTAAGAGCATGTACCTGTAGTGCTGGAACTGGGAAGGGCAGAGGAAGGAGGGTTACTGGAGTTTTCCAGCTAGCTAGTCTAGGAGAATCTGGAGAGTTCCAGCTTCAGTGAGAAACTGTTTCAAAAAAAAAAAAATAAGGGAGAAGGGTCGACAAAGAAAGATACCTGATGACAACTTTTTTTTAAAATCAATTTTTATTTTTATTTTTATTTTATTTGCACTGGTGCTTTGCTTTCATGAATGTCTGTGTGAAGATGTCAGATCTTGGAGTTACAGACAGTTGTTAGCTGCCATGTGGGTGCTGGGAATTGAACCCAGGTCCTCTGGAAGAGCAGTCAGTGCTCTTAACCACTGAGCCATCTCTCCAGCCCCTGATGTCAACTTCCAACTTCTGCTCTCAAGTACACTTGAGAACAGGCACACATGCACACACATAAAGACATAGGCTTTTATAAATAACAAAAAGAGTAAAAAAATTAACTCAGGGTACAGAAAAACAGAACCAAAACCAAGATTTCTTTGTGTGTGTATGTATGTGTGTATGTGTATGTGTGTGTGTGTGTCTGTGTGTCTGTGTGTGTGTGTGTGTGTGGTTTTTTGAGACAGATTTCTTTTGCTGTGTGTCCTAAAATAATTCGGAACTCACTCTGTACTCAAATCCACAGCTGTTCTTCCATAGCCACCTGAGTGCAGGGAATCACAGGTATGAGCCACACCAGGCACCCTGATAGCTAGGTCCATATTCCATCCCACAAAAGTAGTAATTGTCATTTTCTTTTGCAGCAGAATGTCCCTGACTCTGATACTTAACCACAGTGACTCAGAACACAGTGCTTATGACCCTGGAGCATGCCATCTGTCAGCAGCTTTCTTCTCCTGTCTTAACATTTTCTTCCAGAATGTGAGAGAAGACTCTAGAGCAGCCTAGACTGGGCATGTCTTTTCTTCCTTATTGAGCATTCATTCTCTATACAACATTAAACGTGTCCCACATGATCTCTAATTCTACAGCTTTTACCTGACTCGTTCACTGCTGCATCTATTTCTGCAGTGCTAGTGACTGGGCCTACAGCCTTGCACATACAAGGCAAGCTCTCGATCCCTGAACTACACTTTCTGCCCTAGAGCATTTATTGTTTTTGTTTGTTTGTTTTAAAATACTTGACCTAAAAAATGAACAGAAAATGACAAAATGAGTAAACACTAACAGGGGTTGACTTGGTGAGTGTGGTTCCAAGATTCTGAATTCATTTAAAAAAAAAATGTTTCAGTATGAATTCTTATTTCCTTAGAACTTTATGAGGATGGGGCCACAAACCATTTCTCTCCCATTTCTTGAGCAGTACTACTCCCCCATAAATGTCTTTTCTTCTTCTATATAAGCTCCCCAACAGAAGCACCAATTCATATAGCAGTCAATACAAGCAGCTAATAGTTAAAATTGTAAATAGCTGTAAAGAAAACCTCATCTTCACTATGTATGATCATAAAATATATATCTGCTAAAATATACTCTCTACACACACACACACACACACACACACACACACACAGATTTAGCCACTAAAACAATACATGTGAAATTATATTGATGAAAACAGTGTACACCTTAGGAAGGGAAGTTGCTAAATGTGTGAGCATCAAGACAACAGTTAGTGCACAGAGCACAATAATTGTGAGGCTTCCACATGCCACACTAACAGCACCAAATTTACTCCTTGGGAACTGTAAAAGATTTGTGGGACACAAACTGAGTACCATTTTGTGCAGATGTTTTACAAGTCCTTGCAAGACCAATGAAACAATCTATAAGACACATGTGAAGCCTCTCTTGCTTTCCGTTTCAGAACTACTACTCAAGGTGCCACAGATGTGTGGTCAAAGAACAAAAGCCCAGAGCTGTTCCAGGAAAGCCACTGGGTAGGTCTCTCTATGATTATACACACAACTAAAGACAGTACATTATTCTTTTTACTACTTCCAACTCCAAAAGGACGTTAGCTTGCAAGATACAGAGTTTCAAAGACTTCCCCTTTATTGGCTACCATCTCTTTCAGGATATTTTGTTCAGAAATGTGAACATTAGTTTGATTTTAATCTTGCAACTTGTGGAAACTGGAATTTTCAGCCAGCATAAAGCAGCACATAGGCACACAAGTCACTTAAAAAAAATTAGAACAAACTTTGTGTGGGTGTAAAATGTTCAATTACCTCCAAGACTGTGAACTCCTCTCCACAAGGAAGTTTCAAATAAATTTCACCAAACTAAAGATAGATTTTTTTCCACGCATCCAGTGATTTTAGTGCTAGCTATAGTTAATTATGAAAACAAGCTTAAATTTTTTATTTCTAATTTACTGATTTAAATTTTTCATTTGGCATTCCTCTTCAAACAGCAGTCCAATGCAAAATTAGGCCACAGTGAAAGCAGTAATGCCTTTTCTAAATGTTTCTAGAGATTTAAGTAGCTATTAAAATGATAAGGTAATAGGATAGTAACAGAGGTCTGTATAAATAAGCTAACTATATGCAATAAAGGCAAGAAACTGCTACTACCTGATAAGGCAAATTTTAAATGTAATGATAAAAAAAGAAACTTTAGAGCCCTCAGATGGCACCATCCTGACAAATGAATTGTTAGTTTTTCATGTTCACAGTTCAGATAAGCTTAAAAATGGAAACAAAGAGGCCTTAGAGCAAACAGCTTTGACAAGGAGTTACTACAAAAAAGTTTTTGAAAATCTACCTCTTTACTTTGCACTGTCCCCGCCCCCAACAAAGAGTAAGACTAGGAAAAGTACTCCAGTGAAAAAGTGTGTAACTAACCATCTGTGGGATCAAAACAGGGCACATAAGTGACTGTCTCAGGTTTCCTTCCCCTGTAACTCAGCATGATCACTTTCTGCTAGCTTTCCATTTTTAGGACATCTTTAGGAAGAGAATGCCCCTTATCTGAACTTCTTCAGATCATGTTGGCAATCTTTCAAACTTAAAATGTGAGTTTTTTATATGAATAATTGACTCCTTTAAAGACAGAGAAGCGCTATTCATATTTATCCATTCAGAAAGATGTAAAAGAAAACGTGACAAACCATGAATAAGATATACCTCCAACATACATAGAACAACAGAGATTACTATCAAAACTATTAAGCTGCATGCTGGGCAATTAATTACCTTTCATATGATGAGATAATAAAAAAATAGGTTTAGATAAGAATGTAATTAAAAGTATGCCAAAGGTTTTACTTAGAATTTTTACATGAGAATCTAGTCTTTGGTTGTGCATGCATATACAAACAAGAAAAAAACCATTATTACTGTGTATGACATCTGTATGTGTATGTAGGCACACATGTGGAGATTAGAAGACAACTTTGCAGAGTTGATTTTCTCCTTCTACCTTTATGTGGGTTCTGGGGATCAAACTCGGGTTGCTGGGCTTATGTGTCAAGTGCTCTACCAACACTGAACCACAGAGCCAGCCCAAAAGTTATTTGGCTTTTTGAAAAGAAAATTTAGTACTTTAAAGTTTGTTGAGTAACATTTACAAATTTTGGGAAAACGACAGCCAATGTTGAGTTAATAATGTTCCTATACCTCCTTTTAGAAAATACTGTTACCTCTCTCAAAACAAGCTCACAGTAAGAGAGAAAACAAAAACAAAACCTCACATGATGATTTAACCCAAACCATTTTATGACTAGGGGTCCATCATAGACAATTTTTCTTTTCTTTCTTTTCTTTTCTTTTTTTTTTTTTTTAAGACAGGGTCTCACTATGTAGCTCTATAGCTCTAGCTGTCCTGGAACTCACTCTGTAGACCAGGATGGTCTCAAACTCAGAGACCGGCCTGCCTCTGCCTCCCAAGTGCTAGGATTAAAGGCGTGCACCGCCACATCCCGCTAGGCTATATCATGAACAATTTTTGCATGTTCATCATGAGTTCCTATTCCAATCTAGGTTTCTAAACTAAGCCTTCAAATGAGGAAAAGGCTACAAATTCCTTCCTCATGATGGCAGCATATTCTGGAAACAGTATGTGCCTTCAGGTTATATTTTTCAGTTCCATTCTTCAAATCCAGGATATGTGCTGAGCGCTGAAGAAGCCATTAGAGATTACAGTTACTACATAACATCAGAAACACAGAGTCAAACCAAAGCTGTCAAGTGTTTGAGCAGTAAAATGAGGTTAGCTATCCCATCTTTCTCATGAACAGCGCTTCTCTGTAGGAAAAGCTCATCTCTGCATTATGCCTACTCACATGAAAAACTGGGAACCATTGGTATGTTTCCCTCGGTTTGCCATTGACAAAAGGAACGCTCTGTCATGTTTGAGAATAAAGTTTTCATCTGTTTGAAGAAAACACAAATTTGTTAGTCTCCAATTATAAGCAGCTTTTAAAGTCATGTTCAAGTACTAAATTGAAAGCAAAGGATGAAATTCCTCTTCTGGTAGGTAAGATATTTGGCAATATTTAGAAAAAAAAAATTAACTAATCAAGTAACGAAAGCACAAAAAGGCCGAAAAGATACTAATGAAAGCCTTGAGGAAAGAACAGGAACTGAACACTGTGCAAACAGCCTTAGAACAGTCACTTCCAGCAGTGCCCACTCGGCTAATGACATAAGCCACCGACTCTCAGGGAGACCAGCCAGAAGTTTCCAATTAGCCTGACACATGAACTATACGTAGGTGAGTTTAATAAGCCTAATCTTAAATGCTTAGCATTTGTAAGGTAAATTTATTATTCTACTGAAGTCAAGCTGGTCTATGAAAACAAAAATATTATATATATTAAGTTTTAGGAAAATATCAAATTAAGTATCAAAAGGATCACAAAATTACCTATGGAAGAAAGTTGTGTGAAACTAACATTTTAAAAGGCAAAATACAATCTTAAGATACAAAAGCATCTGCCACAGAGAATAGCCACATTAAAGCGGCCCACAACATTAAGTGTAAGTTGCTACATGCCATTAGAACAAGCTAGAAAGGGGGAAAAAAAAATCTGCCATCACCATCATTTAGAGATGGCTTTAATTCAGTAGACTATCTTTAAAACTGGACAGCCATATCACTCTGGATGCGCCTGATCTCCTCTAATATCAGAAATTAAGCAGGGTCAGGCCTGGTAAGTATTTGGAAGAAACATCTTTAAAACAAATTTCCTTTTACATTCATACAAACAAATTTTTCTTTAGAACAAACAGAAACATAAAACTGTAAAAAAATGATTACCTTGGGGACAGGCTTCTGAAAAAAGAGTAGTGATCCATTTTCCCCAAAGGAAATATAAAAGACCATTCCACACTGAAGCTTTGATAGCGTCAAAGTCCAGCAATGCTGGAGCCCACTGTAAATCCCTGCAACTGACTTTTCTAAGGCTTTTTGGGGAAGTGCAATAGTTAGACTTATGAAATGTTACTACTGTAGGAATAAAATACAACCGTAAAGTTCTAGTACACAAAAGAAAACATACAAACCTTTTTGAAAGGAAAAAAATACCAACTTTTATTCAAAGAAATTGCTTGGTTTGTGGCGGGGGGGAACCACAACTAGATTCTTTTTTTCCCTGATGTAGAACGAATAACCAATTGTAAAGAAACAAAGGCACAGATGCATGTATGAAATCACATAGATTTTCCAAGTCTTCAAACAATACAGACATCCAGCCACCACCTGACCAGACTGTCCGTGGATTTATTAGGAGGGCACAAGGGAGCAGAGTGGAGTTTGTGTTACTGAGCTTCGTTCTCTTACCTTTTCATTTTGCAAAAGACCACATTCTCTATAAACAAAAGAATATGTTGACAGTTTTAGGCAGGAAGATAGGAGTTTTCATGTATATAGTTGCCTAACCTCCATGCTGAAAGTCATGTTTAACCTTAAAGTTAGCCTTAATTAATCTTGTCAATTAAAAGTTATATATTACAATATAATTTATCCCCAAACTCATGCAAATAAAGTATTTTCATGCAGCATTAGTTTCATGCAAAACGTGAACTACAAGTAAACCTCTTCTCATTAAAGTATGCGACCAAACTTGCTTTATATCAGAACTGAAACAAAAAAACACAAAATACCAGGCCTTACCTTTAAAGTATCCACCATAAATTGATTCTCCACCTTTTCCATTACCTGAAAACAATGAGCCATAATGAAAATTTGAAATATTCAACACATGAAAATTAGTATCTTTCAAACATCTACTAGTGTATGCACACATGTGTATGTGTGCAACAGTGTAAATGTGGAGGTCAGAGGACAAGCTGCAAGAGTCAGTTCTCTCCTTCCACCATGTGAGTCCCAGGGATTGAACTCAGGTCATCAGGCTTAATCACAGGTACCTTTACCTGCTGAGTACCTTGCCAGCTCCATTTGCTTTAGATTTAAAACACGGCCTCACTAGTGTAGGTCAGTGTGACCTTAAACTCAAAATCCCTAGCCTGTACCTCCCAAGTGTTGGGATTTTAGGTGTACGCCACCACATCCACCTCTATTACAATTATCATCACCATCATCATCATCAGTACTTCAGATTGAAACCAGGGCCTGGTACATACCAAGCAAATGCTCTACCATTCAGCTACCTTCCCAGCCCAATAAATTATTTTTGATGGCCTCAATATCTTGAAGGAAATCTTGAACCTTTTACCTGCTACCAAAAAAACCTATGATTCTAGGTGCATTCAATTAATTTAATCTTTAAAATATCATGCTAAGTACTATCAGAAAAATGATCTCTATGACCCATTTATTTCCAGAAGTAGTCACACTAAGTCACACTAATTTCTAGAATAGCTGTAATTGGACAATACTGTGGTGTTCACTGGAAGGTAATCTATGAGATAGTTATAATGTCAATAAAATAAACTACATACAATACAACATCATTTTTTTTTTAACTTTTTCACAAATTCTCGATCTGTAGCATCTGTTCATCCAACAATGATGCACTGAGGACACATTATTCACATCATTCTGTGACACGATATTCACCATTAAAAAAATAATGAGAATCTTTAAAAAGTGACAGATGGATTTATTAGGAATATAACTTTTAGCTCTACCTTCACTGAAGTCCCCACCCTGAATCATAAAGTTTTTAACCACACGGTGGAATGTAGAACCTTTGTAACATAACTTCTTCCCAGTTGTTTTCCCAAGGCCTTTCTCCCCTGGGGGGAAAAAAAAAGAAGTTTAGCTACAAACCATCATTCTATGGGAATAACCAACAAGCTAATCTGCAGTCAAATCCCTCCCATGTGCTGATACTGTGAGAGATGTAAGACACAATGTATGTAGCACACATACATAACATACAAACTAAAATAAGTAACACAAAGCAGTTCATGTATTAAACTGATCCAGAAACAATTCTATGTGCTACAGGAGGTAAGAATGGAGATGAATAAAATAAATTAGTTCAAACATTGTGTCTCTTTGTGTTCAAATAAAGGTTTTAAAAATGAAGTTTGCTATTTCTAATGTTTAACATTTTTTTTTCCTGCTTGGCTAGGGTATGTACAATGATACATAATAGAAAACAACACATTTTATAATTTAAAAAATTGAAATTTAGGTAAAATTTTTCCAAGATAAAATTAATTTTGAAGATGTCCTATTTGACAAACCAATACATAAATATTGCACCACATGAAATAGAATCTTATCGTTTTAAAGATGATTTATTTTTCCTCCTGTCCTCTCAATTACTTCATTTCATATGAAGTAATGATTAACATTTTAGCTATAAAACTTACTTCACAGACAATTACGTTTTTATGAAAGTTCCCCTGCCTTAAAGCAGATACAGATACAAGTAGCCAGGCATTCTTACTGAAAACAGGTTAAAAACTTCACTGACCTGAGCATAGGCATAGGAAGTTTTTGCATGTTTTTGGACATATGTCTGAGAAGAGCTGAAACATAATTCGACCAACTGAAACAAAATATATGAGGGAAAAAGAACAGTGAACAAGTTAATACAAATATTCATGTAAGAACTGGGAGGTACCCTAGTAATAGTAAGTTTCTTCTTTGTTTTTTAGAGATCTAACACAGTGAGTTCTCTAGCACAAAAATTGTACGATTTAAAGTATTTTTTTAACAGAGCCTTCTTGTATATTCGAATCCTTTAGTACAGAACTAAGAACCCTCTTAAAAAGTATGACTTTGGTTTGCTAGGCTAAAGGCCAAGCCCAGGGCCTCACACACGCACAGCAAGCACTCTCGTGTTGAGCTGCACACACTCCCAGCTCCAAGTGTTTTAACTAAGCTGTGTGACCCACTAGGCCCTGTCAGTACATTAGTACCTCCCTCCATAACAGTCTATTTTGCTCAGCACAGTTAGAAGGAAAGTTCTTCCATGCTGTCTTTGGAGCTTTCTTCCCTCAGCTGTTTGGAGCCAATCACCTAAACTGTACCCACACTCAATGCTCATGTTCCACTCCCTGAGAGCCAGGGGAGAAAAGGTTGCTCAGAAGAACCAATGCTGTCTACAATAAACAACAATAAAAAGAAACACACTATGCCCTAAAAACTGTTCACAAATTCTGGTCTCCATATTCTTTTTTTTTTTTTTTTTTTTTTTTTTGGTTTTTTTTGTCTGGGTTTCTCTGTGTAACAGTCCTGGCTATCCTGGAACTCCCTTTGTAGACTGGCCTCGAACTCACAGAGATCCACCTGCCTCTGCCTCCCAAGTGCAGGGATTAAAGGTGTGCACCACTAACACCCAGCTCCATATTCTTTTGAACTGTTTAAAATTACTAAGATGTTGTTAATGGGTTATACTTGTTAATCAGCATATATAAATCAAAACTCAGACATTCCTTTAAGATACAATATCCAAGCACATATTCCATTAGCCCTCAGGTCAGTGAAGTGAGATCTTCCTGAAAAGTGCAAATCCTGTTTTAGTATTATCATAAAAAATAGTTCTGAATCATGAAGTGGTATTGCACGCCTTTAATCCCAGCACTCAGGAGGCAGAGACAGGTGGATCTCTGAGTTCAAGGACAGCCTGGTCTACAGAATGAATGCTAGGACAGGTAGGGCTACACAGAGAAACCCTCCTGTCTTGAAAAACAAAAACAAATAAGAAACCAGTTCTGACTATATAGACCTGTTCAAAGAGTCTCAGTAAAAATATTTTTCAAGTTTACTACATATCCTTTTATTTATTGGGGGGAATGGTATGCATGTATTACAGAGCATGTGTTGAGGTCAGAGGACAACTTGCAAGAATGAGTTTTCTCCTTCCACTGTGTAGGTTCCAGGGATCAAATTCAGAGGATCAGATTTAGCAGCAAGTACCTTTTCCGGCTGAACCATCTCTCTGGCCCCCAAGAAATGGAGTTTTAGTTCATAATTCTCTCCTAATTCCATATCCTCCCTCATTCTACAAAGTCTTTTCCCTTATGGACATTTTATTTAAAGAAGCAGTATAAATCAAAATGAACTGTACATCAAATATGTCATGTTTAGAATAGACACAAACTGAGTCCTACTGTTTTTATTAACAGTTTTAATATATTTCTAGCTATCCCAATCTGTCCTTTACTGCACCTCAGATACCTGTCATGGACAATGTCAGAGGCCAGCTCCAACATGTAGAAGGGTTCTTGGGGAGGAGCGAGGAATGAGGAAGTATTAGACAGAAATACAGACGGAGACAATGAGAAAGACAGACATAGGATAGCTTCAGGAGGACCCTGGGTCAATACCCAGTCACCTGGACTTTATTCATGATGGGCTTTTTCTATATCCGCAAGGGGAGGGGCAAAAGACCTCCCCCTTTCAAGGTTGAGGTATAAAGTACCAACAAGTGTAGCTCCTTCAAAATACCTGGTAACCACGTCATTGGCCAAATCATCCCATTATGTATCTCTGCTGGGCAAAGCAAGCTCAGACTTGCAGACCTTGAGTAAGACCTCACTAGGGAGCCTCTGTGGGCCCCCACAGGACAACCAGAGGGATCATTATTGACCATCTATCATGTGAGGAAACTTCCCTGTGTCAACACTCTAAGACTAAACTCTGACAAAGTCAAAGTTTAAAACAATTTCAAAACTTTAGCTGATTCTTGAAGAAAAAGATACAAGCTCTGCAACTCAGAACATACTTAGATCTTTGAAATCATTGTACAATGTTTGCCTGTAAGATAAAATAAACAAACAAAAACCAATAGGGTGTGGTGGCAAGGGTCTTTAATCCCAGCACTCTAGGCAGGAGAGATCCCAGTGAGTTTTGAGGCCAGCCTAGTCTACAAACCAAGTTCCAGGCCATCCAGAGCTGTTACATGGAGAAACTCTATCCTGAAAACAAAACACAACATAAAACTATAGAGAGATCCTGTCTAAAAGAAGACCTGGGTTCAACTTCCAGTACCCACACCAGGAGGTTCACAACCACCTAAACTCCAAATCTAGGAGATTCCAGTGTCTACCTCTCTCTGCCTCACTCAGGAGGCAGAGACAGGTAGATCTCTGTGAGTTGGAGGCCAGTTTGATGGTCTACATAAGTAAGTTCTATGACAGCCAGAGCAACAGTTTCTCTGTGTATCCCTGGCTGTCCTGGAACTCCCTCTGTAGACCAGGCTGGCCTCAAGTGCTGGTTTTAAAGGTGTGTGCCACTACAATGGCTTCAACCTAGGCTTTCTTAAGATCATAGAAACATCTAAATCAAGTGGATTTTTTTTTGTTTTTGTTTTTGTTTTTCTTTTTCGTCTTCGCCCTAAAACTAACAAGGCTTTAAATCAGTGGCTCTCAATCTTCCTAAATGACCCTTTAATATAGTTCCTCATGCTGTGGTGACCCTCAGCCATAAAATTATTTTGTTGCTACTTCACAACTGTAATTTTGCTACTATTATGAGTCATAATGTAAATATCTGTGCTTTCTGATGGTATTAGGAGACCCCTGTGTGAAAGGGTTGTTTGATCCCAAAGGTGTCGCCACCCACAGGTTGAGAACCACCACTTTAAAATGAAAGCTGGTCAAGGTTTCTCCTTTACAGGTGACTAAGTTATTTATCTCCTAGTAGCACAATAAATTTGAAAATATGAAGTCTAACATTCAGAGATGTAGGCCTAACTATCATAACCTAACCTGATGTAGAACATTTTCTACTGGACTTAATCTCAGGAGGCAAGGGTTAGCAGCAAGTCTTTGTGTTCTCTATAGCACATTAGGATTGGAGAATAGACAAAAAATAAAGCTGCTATGACTTTAGTTTGGTGCAAGGTTAAATAAAAACACTGCCATATCAACTAGAGATGGCTCAGCAGTTGAGAATACTGGCTGCTCTTACAGAAGACCCACCTGGTAGCTCACAGTAACTCCAGTTCCAAGGGATCTTATGCCCTTTCTGGCCTCCAACGTGCTGGGATTAAAGATGCATACAGAAATACAGGCAGGCAGGCAAAACACCCATACACATAAAATATAAATAAAAACAAAGCAAACTGCTATCTGCAGAAAAATTTTTTAAAGTATCCTAGAGCAGTGATTTTCAACCTATGGGTCACAATCAACCCCTTTGGAGGTCGCCTATCAGGTATTTGCACTACAATTCACAACAGCAGCAAAATTACAGTTAGGAAGTAGCAACGAAATAATGTTCTATTTGGGGGTCACACAACATGAGGAACTGTATTAAAGGGCTGCAGCCTTAGGAAGGTTGAGAGCCACTCTCCTACGGCGAGGCTGCGGTGATGGCTCAACAGACAAAGCATCTGTATCACAAGTGTGAAGATCTAAGCTTGAACTCCCAGAGCCCATGTAAAATGCCAGATGCAAACCCATACACACATACGTGTACACACACACACACACACACACACACACACACACACACACTGAAAACAATAAAAAACTTCATTCATTAGCCTTCAGGACTGGCCACTAGGCCCCTGTACTCTTTATACCCTATGAGACAGTCTCCATTAAGTTGTCAGGCTGGCCTCAAGGTTCAAACTTAATTTCTAGCTCAAGAGGACCTTAAATTTACAAACTTCCAGTCTAGGCCAAATTCCTAAGAAATCTTAAGGAGGAACTGTTGAGAAGTTTCAGCAAGTCAAAGTGCTTATGAGAAAACTCCAAGGAAACAAGAGTCTTGTGGCCTCGGTTTCTTCAAAAACAGGGAATTGTTCTTAGAATGTGTTTTCATGACCTTCCCAGGTGTGACAGACAGGAGTGAGTTCACTTTAGATTACTGACTACAACTGGCTATTATTTGTTTCTATGCCTTTATGGAAAAACATGTTTTTGCCATGAGCAGCTTGTGATTGTGATTAATCAGGTGACTCTTCTTAACCCGCAGAGTATAAACTGTGTGATGCTTTGAATAAAATTGGCCATAGTATGAGACTTTTGTCCGCCTCATTTTTAGGCTCCACTCTCCCAGGTTCATGCTGCCATTAGAGAGGTAAACAACACATTTTCAATCAGGAGGGAAAGATGAGCTATGACTTCAGACTATGGCAACTAATGCCTATGCACACAAATCTGACAAATTAGATAAACGCGTCAGTTTCTTAAAAGCTACAAACCACCACTACATCAAAAGGTAAGAGACATGTAGATGAATATTCCTCTATCAAAGAAATTAAAATATTCATTAAGAGCCTTAATAACAACAAAAGAACAGTCAGAATTATTTCCAATAGGAACAATTCACTGAATTCATACAGAAAAACTACTATATAATGTAAAGTTTTCCCCCCTTTAAATCAGTATTTGCATTCATTCCATAGTTTTATAATTCAAAAGTTAACCTGTTTTGCATTTGTACTGATGGTAACTGAAAATACACACTATGTTGTATTCTACTCTTAGCAGTGTATCTTGATTTCTGTACCACCTCTGCTTGTTAAAGTAAATCAGATACTGTATCTGTGATGCTGAGAGTTGAACTTGGAGCTTACATATGATAGGCGAGCACTCTCCCACTCAACTATACTCCTGTATGATTCTTACTTCATCTTTGCTCAGTAGTTAATCCATGCTCCAGATAACAGGAGTTTTACTAGTTTTTAAGGGTTAAAAACAAGCTGGGCAGTGGTGGCACATGCCTTTAATCCCAGCAGAGGCAGTCAGATCTCTTTGAGTTCAAGGCCAGCCTGGTCTAGAGAGAGAAACCAGAACAGCCAGAACTGCACAAAACAAAACAAAACAACAACAACAACAAAAAAAAAAACCTTAAAAACAGAAGATGCCCTAAAAAAAAACAGACATTAAGCAAAGATTGTGCAGCCACATTAAGTATTTTCCTTTCAAGATCCGTATCTGTGGTGCTGGGGATCAAAGCCAGGTCCTTGGTCATTCTAGGAAAATGCTCTACTTCCGAGTTACGTTTCTAAGTAACTAATTATTGCTTTCTGAGTATGCTCACACCTTAGGTTTGCAAAGGTCTGTGAAAAAATCTCCACAATAAGTTTGGTAAATGCTGAATGTACTGCAGAAACAGTTAAGGGTTGAAATGTTAAATGGGAGAGACAAAATGTTTAAGATCACTTGGTTCCTTTGTTCGGAACGCTTTGCTGTCTTCCTCTATCACGGAGTCAGGGTTCTCCTTACTCCCTTCCCTCCACTCCAGCCACACTGGGCCCTTTGCCTCCCTCGGAAACTGCTGTCCACGTCAGGCGGTTCTCAAATACACCCACGGGGTCCGGCTTCTCATCTACTTAACTGTCTTCACACAAGGGCCTCTTCTCACCACCTCACTGAACAGAATTGGAAGGAATGCGTTTTTAACCCTTTGTTAACTGTTAGCCTGTGGTCTTCCAACAGGATGTAAACATAAAAGCGGCAGCTGTTTTGGTCACTGCTGTACCTTCAGAGCCCAGGACAAGCTCTCCTAAGACATCCGCAACATAAAATGTGTTAAAATTCCTGCAGTTTACAACTCTTGAGCCTAGCCGGCATGGTGCCACACGTCTTAATGCCAGTGCTTGGGAGGCAGCTTCGAGGCCAGCCTGGTCTATGGAAGGAGCTCCAGGACAGCCAAGGCCATACAGAGAAACCTTGTCTCGAAATACAAAACAAAACAAGGACTTCTGCGCCTGAAACAACTATTTCAGGAAAACAAATGTATGTTTATACATGTGTATGTATGTTTATGCTCTATGTGTGCATGTGTGTACATGTGCACGCCTGTATGTGTAAGTCTCCCTGTGTGTGTCTGTGCATTAACGAATGGCTGCACACTGGAATTCCTAAGACAAACAACACAGCGGCGGCGTATCCACGGCGCGGTCCCGGGGTTCGGGAACGCACACAAGCCCTTCCGTCGCCTGAGCGCTTTCCCCAGCGGTCCGCGAGGGAGACGGGAAGGCAGTTGACCAGCTCGTGACGAGCCAGGCTGGACGCGC